GCTGTTGGCCATCCCCACGGGGGAGTGCATGGTGGGCATGGTGGGGGAGAAAGGGTTGTTGCTGGGCACTCGGGGCCTCGGTACCAGTCCCGGGCTCACCCGATGCCTCGGAGACATGAACTGCGGCGGGGTAATCCCTGGACTATTCATGGGGGAGCTACTGAGGTTTAAAGTGTGGTTACTGTTCTGGGGACCAGCTTGTCCCTGGCTTAAGGCAACGTTGGCTCCTATCTGGCTACCAGGTGAACACCCAAAGCTTGTCTGGCTGGTGCTGGAGTTGCTGCTGTGGAGGCCGGAGCCTGGCTGCTGGTTTACGTTGGTCGCCAACATGCTGCCGTTGGATGGAGGGATGGAGGACGGCAGGGCCATGCCTTGCCCTGGGGAGATGCTGGGATTCAGCGAGGGGCTCACCCGGGGCAGGGAGAGCCCCGAGTTCGTGTTCTCCTGGGGAGAGAGCATGCCGTGATCCCTGGAGGAAACAAGGGGAAAGGAGAGGAGGAGAAGTCACACGGTGCCTGGCCCAAACCTTCAGTACAGCTCAGACTGCTTCTGCCTCCTCTTTATTCTACGCAGGCATGAAGCCTGGAGAGCAGGAGCTTGCAAGCACTGGCGGTGATAGACATCCCCGTTCCAACCATTACTTTCGGATCTATTTCACCTCCTCTGGACTTACGCTCTCACACTGCTGGAGGAAGACTGCCGATAATACTCCCCTCCAACCCAACCTACTCGCCTTCCTCTAACGCAGTCCAGGTCCACAGACTCAGCTCACCCGGTTCTACCTGTTCTTCAGAGCCTCTCCCTCCTGAGATATTTTGACTACGTTCTCCAGGGCAAGGCAGAAGCCTGGGGCATGCCTCTAAACCTCCACACATCGCTCCCCCTCTGCAAAGCGGGAATAATCAGTGAAGAGCAGCAGAGCTGCCGCTACGCTGGCTTTCAGGCTCCCCATGGGAATTAGATCTCCGAACCAGCACCGCAAGCGGCTCCTCCTTCCACTGCCACGCACCAGCACTCTGATTTCGGGATCACCCTCCCAGGCCCTGCTTTCGCCTCCCCTCCGCCTGGCGTTACTCTCTTTCCCGTCAAGCCCCGCTCGGCAGCAGCGGCCCCGGGAGCTCACCTGTCGATGATGTGGATGCCCATGATGAAGGGCTGCATTTCTGGACTGGAAGGGTAGCAGAGCTTACATTTGGTGTGGGCGCTGAGAACCGTCCCGTCGCTCAGGGTGAACCGATACGACGGGCTGAAGGCTGTGCCACGCGTCATCACTGAGGAAGAAAAACAAACACACGGGCACCCTCCTTAGCAGTTTAAACAGACCCTACGGCATCCTGCAAGCCTCGGGAGGAGGATGGAGGAAGGAAAGGAAGAAACTGGCCCTGGATCAGAGGGAGAAGAGACGGACGGCCACGCACGGGGCAACACCGGGTGTCCCAGCAGCCACGACCACACACTGCGCGTTTCGGCTAACCCCATAGATTCAGCCTTGTGCGTGCAAGCGATGAAGGTAAGAGTGACCCACTGGCCAGGCGACGGTGGTTCAGATACTGTCGCGGCTCTTTTTTGCAGCTCTGACCCAGCGTCCTGCAGCGGGTGTTTCAGGAAGACCTAAAGAGCGTGCCATAAAAGCTGGCTCTCAAATGCAATTCTCTTTGCTTGTCGGAGGAGATGGGAAGCACGACAGGACACAACGGGACGTGACCGTCCGAGCGGGAGCTGACTACACTGATGTTTTACTTCTCCCTAACTCCCTGGCTCGCTGGGCCACTCCTCTGCCCGAGCCGAGGCAGCTGCCGCGCACGGGAGGGCGCGGGACCGCCCC